AAAAAATTATAAAAGTGTAATGGTAAAAGTGTTTTCCGTTAAGCATCTTAAAACAACAACAACAACAAAACCCAATTCCCATATGTATGGGGTAAGGGGGAGGTAGGGTAGTAGGCTACCCCCAACGCCAGGTTGAGAGTAACTTCCGTGGAAGACCTCCGGCAGTCAGAAAATTAAAAATTTAGATAAAATGCAATGCATGTATAAATAAATACATAAATACATAGCTAAACAGTATTCATATGCAGTCATTAAAATCATATGTGCGTCTGTAACAGGAATTAATCCCTGCATAATTATCCCTGCGAAAGAATCTCTGCATATAGACATAAACATAAGATAAGATCCGGCTAAATTTAAAAGAGGAAACATGAAGAGAATGATACACAGAAGTCAACGTTAGCAAGCCCAGTTCTAATCCTTCATAAATACCAATAACAGAAACGTATAAAAAGTATAAGTCATGGAAAATACACAAGACATTAAAAGAAGACAGAGATGATACACCCTATAGATGTGACCCACACTACTCCACTACCCTAGTCTTTAGCCTCCATATTTTCCTATCAGAGGTCATGTCTTCGGTAAGGGCTAAATCCCTCAAATCAGATCTCAAGCAGTCTTCCCACTTTCGCCTTGGTCGTCCTTTCCTTCTGGCACCGTCGACTGTAATCGACTCTACCCTCCTTACCGCATCCGACGGTAGTCGCCTAAGGACATGCCCAAACCACCGTAGTCTTCCCTCCCTCAATTTTTCGGAAACAGACACCACCCCCAAGGACATCCTAATAGCAGAGTTTGTCGTCATATCCCTCATAGTCTTACCACATGTCCATCGAAGCATTCTCATTTCTGCGGCCTCAATCCTCCTTACGTGATCCTTCTTGGTTGCCCAACATTCTGATCCATACAACAGCGCTGGTCTTATTGCCATTCTATAGAATTTTCCCTTAAGTTTTAGAGGGACCTTCTTGTCACACAGAACTCCAGTAGCGGCCCTCCACTTAGCCATCCCGCCTTTATACGGTGTGTAACGTCATCATCTACACCCCCATCTTTATGTATCATAGACCCTAGGTACTTGAAACAATCCTTTGAGGGGAGAACGTGTCCTTCTATGCATACTTCTACATCTTCATCGTTTTGGTTCTCATTAAAGTTGAACATAAATACTCTGTCTTTTCAATATTGATCCTTAAACCTTTTTCTTCCAAAGCAGTCTTCCAGGTAGCCAGTCTACTATTCAACTCAGATTTTGTTTCAGCAACTAAGACAATGTCGTCAGCGAAAAGCATACACCATGGTACACCGTCTGGTGTCGCACAATAGATGTCGTCCATGATCAAGGCGAAGATGTAAGGGCTAAGAGCCGACCCCTGGTGGAGTCCGATTTCCACCGGGAATGCCTCGGTGTCGCCAACTGTAGTCCTGACGTAAGTAGTAGATCTACAGTACATATCACGAATCGCCCGGATATAAGCAGTTGGGATCCGTCTCGTTTCCAAAGTCTTCCAGATCGTATCGCGGGGAACACTATCATAAGCCTTCTCAAGGTCAATGAACGCCATGTGAAGATCTCTAGACTTTTCCCTATATTTCTCCATAAGCCGTCGAAGTAGATGAATCGCCTCCGTGGTAGACCTGCCTGGCATAAAGCCAAATTGGTTTTCCGAAACCCTAGTAACTTGTCTCAACCTAGCCTCTATCACCCTTTCCCATAGCTTCATGGTATGGCTGAGGAGTTTAATACCTCTGTAGTTACCACAACGTTGGGATCTCCTTTATTTTTATAGATTGGTATCACCGTAGACTCTCTCCACTCCTCTGGCATCTTGGCAGTCTCTAGAATAATATTAAAGATGTTGGTCAACCACTTAACTCCCTCTTCTCCTAGGGCCAACCACACAGTGATAGGAATTTGATCAGGACCGACAGCTTTGTCCCTTCCCATCTTTCTAAGAGCCATTTTGACTTCCTCAAACCCAATCCTACTTGTAGGGCAGTCATTGGCCGTAGTATGATAGTCGGTTAACCCATCAGCGATACTATCTCTACATGGAGAGGCACCGTCATTAAATAAACTAAAGAAGTAACTACCCCAAACCCTCTTAATATCGTGATCTTTCGCTAAAAGAACACCATTGTTGTCCTTAATAAACCTAATGTTACCTAGATCCTTTTTCCTAATCTCCCTAGATTTTGCAAGTCTGAAGATGCCATTTTGTCCTTCCTTGGTGTCTAATCTCTTGTACATTTCCTCGTATGCCTTATCCTTGCTTTAGCTACCGTTTTCTTGGCTTCCGCTTTGCCTCCTGGTATCTTTGTTTAGCTCTCGACCTTTCTTCGTCGTCATTGCATTGTAGAAACTCCTTGAAGCAAGTTTGTTTTGTCTTCACCTTAGTTTGGACTTCGTCGTTCCACCACCACGATTCTTTATGTTCCTTGGCCTTCCCCGTCGACAACCCAAGGGTATTTTTGCCAACATCTCTGATGGAATTTGCCATATTTTTCCATAACATATCTGCATTTTTTGAGTTTGTAGTTTCAAAACTAATATTAGACAAAACCTTACTCCTAAAGTCATCAGTTGTCGCTCCATGTAAATTCTTCCAGAGGATCCTAGGTTTACCAAGTTTAGCCCTCCTATGAGTGCTCCGCCCGTGGGTACGCGATACACCAAAACCAACAATTTGTGTTGTGATGCACATGCCTCTTCAGGGAAAACCTTACAGTCAATGCAAGCCCATCGTTCCTGATTCTAATCAAGATGTAGTCGATTTGGGTACAATGTCCCCCGCTATGAAACGTAATCAAGTTCGCATCTCTCTTATTAAAGAAGGAGTTAGTGATCACCAAATCGTGAGCAGTAGCAAATCAAGCAACGTACGCCCCCATCGTTCCTGCTACCATAACCGAAACCCCCATGAACACCGTCATACCCGTCGGTTGCACTTCCTATATGGCCATTGAAGTCTCCCCCTATGAAAACTCTTTGGTCCTCCGGAATGCTCCTAAGTATATCATCTAACTGATCCCAGAAGCAACGTTTCTCCCCCTCCCCTAGGCCAACGTGTGGGGCGTACACTGAAAGGACATTCACTACTTCCTCTTCTATAATAACCTTAATCATCATGATCCTATCCCGGTATCTGCAAACTTCAACTACATTTTCCTTGTGCCTAGAGGATGCCAAGATACCCACCCCATTTCTAGCGTTATCTACGCCTGAATACCACAACTTGTACCCATTACACTCTCTTGCGCGAGACCCTTTCCACCTAGTCTCCTGAATACATGCAAAATCTATTTTTCTATTATTAAGTACGCCGGTCAGCTCCAGCAGCCTAGCATTTAATGTGCCTACATTCAGCGAGCAAACTCTTAATCTAGTCTCCTTGTCACCACTCTGTCGAGCCCTCCCCCTATACGCCCCATGGGATCTAAAAGAATGACATGACCTCAAGTAAGCATCTGTAACCGAAGCTATGAGGAACTATGAAAAAAGAATCCAAATAAGACAGAAGATGCACTAATAAAACGCTAGAGAATTGAGGAGTACTAAAAATCCTAGTTGGTTACTTAATAGGATTTTAAGAAAAATAATACTATCTTTATTTAACTATAGGTCAATATCTAGAAACTATAATTTAAAATGTTTAATAAATATCCGAGCTAAGCAAAAAAGGATTAAAATTGTAACACGAGATATAAGAGTAATGAAATCCTACTCAACTAATTGAAAAACATCAAACCCAAAGCTGGTAAAAAAAGATCAATATAAAAACAAGAGAAAAAACAGCAAGAAGCTAAGTCAAAGAAAGCAGATCCAACAACAACAAGATTAAGAAATATTAAGTACAAAAATATGCAAGGGATATGCAAAACAACGACAGAGCTAAAAGGGATATATCAAAATTCGTGGATGCGAAATTAACAATCTTTGTTCAAATAAAAATCTGATAAAAACCGTGCTATAACACAAAAATCAAACCTTTACCTATCAAGAAATTAGCATGCAAAATCTTATGAAATTAGAAGAAAAAGAGAAAACCCAGAATTTTTTTTCAGAAATTAAACCGCTGACGAAGGCGATCGTTGCTCTACGAGGAAGGTGGTCCGATCGAACTGAGATCCGAGACTTTCTCGTAACCTTCGTCTCTCAATCTTGTATCGGAAGCTTTGCTAAATTTCTGCAAAAACAAATAGATTTCGATTTCTTTTTTCTCAAATTAAAAGAGTGAAATATTGAAGTTCAAGATGAATAATCGAATCGACGCTGATACTGATACGAGTTGTAACTCTGAAACGAATAAAATCTGGAAAAGTTTGGTATTTCACCACCTATAAATTGTCTTGCATTTATACGCCGGAAGCCTCAATTGAGATGAGACCAGTAGTTACTGTCGTACTAAATTTGATTTAACTACGGAAAGACGCGTTTTCCCTAATTAATTTGGACTACTTGGAGAATCCCCAAATTTTGAAGAAAGCCCTAACCCTAAATTCCTATTTCACTGAGAAAACAACAGAATCACAACAGAGAACTCCTCCGACAAATCACGCCACAGCTTAAAACACCGAAACCCTCTTAGAATTTCAGATGAAAACGAACCCTAACATAAAGAACAAATACAACCCCTAGAAGGAAAACGAATCGAGAAACCTGAACAGAATTAGACCAAACTAAAGTTTATTTTTTTTACCGTTTCATAGAAATCAAGCAACGCCACATTTATTGTCTTTTGTTAAGCATCTTAAAGTGTAACAAAAATAAATATTGCACCTAAAAAAAATATAACGAAGAAAAAATTAGCCGCCTATTTTTTTTTTTTTTATACCTTTTGAGCATTTGTTTTTTTTCATTAAGCCTTCAGAATTTAGACCCTTGTTTCTGGACAAACACCTTCAACAGTCGCTTTCTTTTCATATTTTGTTCATCTAAATTTGAAAAGCTGCAGATAATAATGGTTGGATTTCACAGTAAAAGCATACAACGTACCTTCCACCCAAAGCTAGACGAACAGCAACTTTGCTACAATCTAAGTTAGCAGAAACCTACTTCCCCTATAGGACGAATCGGGAAGATTTTAAACTTTTCATCTCAAAGACTATGTAGATGTACAACAACGCGAATGTACAAGAACGCAGTGATCATCCTCGCATCATGTCAATATCTCCGAGAGGGTTTCTCAGACCAACCGGACGTGAACTGGGCCAAGAATTCACAGGAGGGGAAGTGAAATGTTGAGTCGGAGGTGCACTTGCTGGCGTAGTTGTTTCACTGCAGAATTGGGGCATGGAATCCTTTCCTTTTGGGCTAGCCAATTGTTTGTTCTTAGTTTTAGATCCCCCATAAACAAAACTGCACATCACCAGCTGCAGCAAGTGTATATAATAACTTAGAATCATATGCATAAAGATTCATGCCATAGCCAATCTCATTTTTCACCCTCTGAAAACACTATATGGGTCACACATGTATGTTTTGATGACATATCACCTCTATTCAAACTCACTCATTTCAGACAGCACTTATTGTGCTCATGCAAATACGAACCTAGTCAAACTCACCCGATTTAATAAGTAAATGTCAGCCAAAATACAATCATAAGCGAAAATTGGAGAGACTAAAAGGATACCTGAACCAGGCTTGATGCAATCAATGTTGCAACCCCACCACCTATGACTTGACCATCAGGAGTAGAAAGAGAAGCACTCATTCCACCCGTTCGACTGTGTGGTCCACCATCCTCGGCAAGCAAGTAAGAACCAGACAAGCATAGTATCTCAAAACGACCCTAATAAAAGCTAAAACAGATCAAATAAGTTCCCACCAAGCTGCACAACTATCAATGGAAACTCAGAAGGCTAAATATATAAGATGGAAAAATCAGACATTACGTGATCATAAACAAATCTAAATATGACACGACAATTTCATTGGCAGAAAGCCTTTAAAGATGCAGAGCCCAAAAAAAACACATAAATAGACAAGCTAGTACTTAATTTAGGCTATCATCAGGGTTTCAAATCGCGGTCGCGTTTTCGGTTATTTCGGATTTACCGTGATTGCGGCCGTCGCGGGTAACTCGGACGACGGCGAAACCGCTATATAGCGGCCGAAATCGCGGTCGCGGACCGTTTTTTGAAACCCTGGCTATCATCATACTATGATTTTGCAGAATGCATTAATGCAGAAGAGATTCAGGTTCAAAATTTCAAACTGGCATTCAAGAACTCTAATAAAGAAGCTAGTAAGACATTTGGGAACCGAAAGAACTCACGACTCATGACATAAAATTTCTGCATTTAACTTTTAAAAAAATGAAAGGGGAAAAGCCAAAAGGGTGTCAAGTCCCACAACCTCATATGTCACCGTAGGAGTAGACGATGCGGGTTGACGTAAAGTAACGGAGGAAACTGTACCACTGCCTGATAAGATGCAGACAGCTCTTGGACTTTGTTGCGAAAAGGATGACATTTTCGCTACAATATCCTGAAAAGAATATAAAAATTGCACACCCCATGTCAAATAAAGTTCTACATGCTTAGGAAATTGCTGATGCTATTTGCAATTGTATCATATATCTAAACACAATAATGCTAACTTGGAACGGATATGGTGACCCATGTGCCTTCTATACCGATTCATAAGAGCTCGTGTTTACTTAAAGTGGGGAGACCAACTATACTCACAGTTCAAAGTGGAAAACAGTCATTCAACTGCATTTAGTGTGCCAAAGTCACATTATGCAAAGATCAATGCCCTTTGAACAAGTTGAACAATGTTGTCTCTAAGGTTTACTCACCACTAAACAAATTAGTCATTAAAAGCTGGTTCAAAAGTGATCTTCAACATTTATAACAAGAAACAACAATAGAGCAGAGGACTATCATGCAGCTGTACAAATTTAGAGGCCTTCTTCAATACTTTTCTAATTCTAGCCACCTTAACAACACATCTGTTGGATATAGGCATGCTTTTAGCCCCGTGTGTGTGTGTGTACAAAATATAAACAACTACATGAGCTGTTTAGTCCAGTCCTGTATAAGGGCATTATCATGGGGTTAGTCAAGAATATTTCCCATCCGTCAGTCTACTCACTGTCAAAATTCATGAGGAGACCACAATTCCAACCACATTAAAGTCACAAGAACTACAACCTCCAACTAAATCCTAAAAAGAAAACATTACAGGCCAGTAATATGGAAAGGACCAGTCTCCAGATCACCTAGCTCAGCAGCTAAGCTATATTAAAGACGTTAAACACATATTTAACTGCAAAAAGATGTAAGCTCAACATCAATTCTATCATGTATTAAAAGTGAGAAGAACTGGAAGGATGTGGTTTACTTCTCCAATTCCAACAGTGACAACATGAGGAGCAAAGGCCTGCCCAGCCGAACTGTTCATCCATTCACCTATCAGAAACAACAGAGCGGTTAAACAGAGCTCTGAAAGCTAGTAGCATATATTCACAACACAGGTAACTATAAAAGCATCTATAATTCTATTGAGCTCTAAACTCCAAGAATTCTAACCTCCCCTTAAAATCATCATGGTGTAATGGGATTAAGGTAAAAATATAGGACAAATTAAGTTTACAAATTCACATGTACAAAAGAAAGACAAGCAACACATGTTAGCTACATTCCAATTAAAACATCAAAATGCAACACAAATCTAACCTAGAGCTGCTAATTGCTGCTTCCTCCCAGTCCCAGGAGGACGGCCTTTCTTTCTTTTATGGCCAGGAGCATCTGACCCTGATAAAGACTTAGGCTTAGAAGGCAAAGGCAAAGGCAAAAGGCCCAATGAAACCTGCCCATCAGGAGCATACTTCCGGGGCCTCCCTCTCTTTTTCTTAACCGGCTCCCCAAGTGGCTCCCCAGAGGGCACACCCATGTCAATGCCACGAGGAGAACTGACATTTTTAGGCTCCCCTGTAAAAGTTGGTCCAATGTTCGACTGAAGATGAACCTGGGGGTTAGATGAGGGCCTGAACCCTGGTTGAGAGTAAAATGCAGCTATACTAGTGTGAGTCACTGATGCGGAACTAGGCGCACTAACTCCTCTTTGAATATAATAAGGACCTGACCCTCCTGATAATGCCATAGCTTCTCTCCCATCCATGCATTTACTACCGAAGAATTAATCACAATTCAAGGAGAGGAAAAAAGACTGATTTTATGCTAAAACTTTGTGTGTATTTAAAAAGCCTTTTAACCCAAAATTAAACTGATTCGAACATGCAAAAAAAAGTAGCAGTTTTAAGGGGGAAAAAATCTTAACTAATAAAACAAGTACTGAATTTGAAATCTCTGCTTCAGGGGAATCCCGTTTTTAACCACAAATCTTATAGAGCAAACATAATGATGCTCAAAGATTGTGATTCAGAGTTTCCTAATAAATGAATATAGTTAGTACCCCCGAGAAGGTGCAGTGGAAACCCAGATACACAAGCGGTTGAATCTCAAAACCCATTACCAAAAGTAAACTCTTGAGCAAGCTAAAAACAGAAGGATGCTGAGTATGAAGTATGAAAAGCTCAAAAACCAAAACAAAGTGGGAGCTTTTAAGAAATTGTAGCACTCAGGAACCCGAATTCATCAAGAAAAACAAAACCCTGGACTTGAAAACCTAAGTTTTTGTAAGAGAAACAACAAAGGAGCGAAAATGATATGAAAAAAGGAGGAGCTTTTGAATCAAAATGTATGAAGGAATTGAAGCATTTTTTTCTGTTTAAAATCTTATTAGGGATCTCTTACCGTATAGGTAAGAGTCAAGTGGGGGCTGTTAGTGTTCTGACTGAAGACCATTTTCGGAAAATAGTTGGAGTGATGGTCTTCGGCGGGGGGGGGGGGGGTGACCCACAAAAACCCAATTACAGTGTGTTTGTCCTTATCAAATTGCCAGTTTTCTTAGAGCAGTGAGCCCTTTACTTTCCCCTTTTTCATAGAGTACTAGCTGTATTTATTTTGTTTTGATTTATTTTCATTTCACTCTGTTTGAATGAGTGTGTCTGCTTGCAGTTTGTTGCTTTCGAGTCTTCAGCACTGTACAATTTTAGTCATTATTAGTTTATTACTCTGATTAAGAACTCAGCCAAGGAGCCAGATGGTCAAGGAATCTAAACAGCGACTCTTAACATAAATTTTCGGGTAAACTGCCTGAATTGTCACTTTTATTTTAATTTTATTCACTTTGACCATTGATTTTGGAAAAAAATATTTCAATCACTTAAATTAATTATTAAATTTTAAATCACTCACCATTAAATATAAATTTCAAATTCACATGCGTATTTGATCATTAAAATATAAGATTTTTCGAAAAATATATAAAATTATATATCAATAATAACTTATAATTAGTTAAATCGTTTGTAACTCGTGAGTTGATATTTCTTTTAATTATTGTGTAACATAAATTTTTAAATATTAAGGATATAATATGTAGGAATGTAAATAAAATGAGATAGATTGTGAATTATATGAGATTGAAACGGTCAAAGTTCAGTCAATACTGAAATCAAATAAACTCAATCTAAGTTTGAATTCGACTCGAATTCTTAACAAGTTAAAATGAGTTACTTGATATAAGAATCGATAAGTTCCTAAGCAACTGGAAAAATAACATATTAATTTTTAAAATTTTAAATTAAATTATCAATAATATTAACATTTAAATGTTATTTTTAAAAATATTATATAAGATTTTCATATACTTAAGGTTTATGTTTGAATTTGAGTTTGAACTTCAATCGAATCAAGTCTGAGAATGTTTCGGATTTAAAATTTTTTCGAACTCAAATCGAACTTAAAATATTTAAACTCACAAACTTTCAAAATTTTCAATTTTTTATTTTAAATTGAATCGAGTTTGATAATTTTAAACCTACAAACTATAATTTTGTGAAGCTTGCCTTAAAAAAAAACCATCATATCTCTCGTAGAGAAAGATAACCATTTTCACTCCAAACAAGCGGTGGCAGACATATATAGATACAAAATAATCGTATGTTTACCTTAAATTTATGTTTTTAGTTAGCTGTTCATTATATTAGTGGTTTTCATCTTAAAATTTTATTCGTATCACGTTACATACATAACAATTATATTATTAATATATACATGTTTATCTTAAAGAGATATTTTCTGAATCTATTAATTTTAACAAGTTAAAAGAATTTTTTCAACAATAACAATAGAACTCAGTTACCTTCTAAAAAGACGGATGAAGATGAAAAGTGCTTCTATTAAAAAGCTCTTCCTTGGAAGAACATCATAGCTTACCTTTCAATGGTTGGTTAATATTCAAGAAGAATGAGCAGTTCTTTTAGTTTGGGTGAAATGTTTTGGCTATGGCTGTTTGAGAGAGAATATGGTGTGTAGAAAAATAAAGGTAAGATAAATTAAAAATTTCTCATCCCATTAGTCATAAATGGGTCGCCTAAAATTGAAGTTTAGGGGATTAGGACTTCGGATATAATAAAAATTAGGATAAATTACACCCTTACTCATTGAACTTTATTCTTTCTCTTATTTCACTCACTATATTTTTTAAAAAAAATCAGTTTATTCACTAAACTTTTGATATTGAATTTTTTGGTTACTTTGCCGTTAATCTTCTAACGGCATTATGATACGACAATAAATGTCAAAACGATATAGTTTTGAATCTTATAGAAAATTAAATTTACAAAAAAAAAAACGTAGTTTTGGTCTAAATAATATTTTTTTTCTCTTCATTCTCTCTTTCTTTCTTCTTCCTCCCATCTTTTTTCCATCTCTCATTAGCTTTAATGAACACAGATTCTGATCATCACATCAGTCGCCGTTCCGACCTTCATAATGACAGTTTGCTTTACCAATTGAATGTACGAAATTATAACTTTTGCCTTCGTTTCTTAACTATAATACTGTAACATCCCAAAATTCGGGTTAGTGACGAAAATGAGAATTTTTGGAATTTGAGGATCAATTTAAGGAAATTGATAAGTTCAAGAATTTAAATAGGACTATTTCAATATTGGATTAAATCATAATTATGGAATAAGTAAAGGGCATTATGGTAATTAGTTTAAAAAGATATTTTCTTTCCCTTATTAAGAATAAACACGTGGGATATGAAGAGTGATCTAGAACTCTTCTTTTCCTTATTCATTTCTTCTTCTCGTGGGTTCAAGCTCAAACCTCAAAGGTGAGTTTTAATTTTATGATTAATTCTTGAATGTTTAAGTTGGGTTTTATTTCATGAGTGTTATATAAGCTTAAGGAAAGCTTATATAAGTTTAAAACACCAAAAGGAGAGAATTAGAAAGGAAATTTGAATGAATTCTTGATATAAAGAGGTTTTTGAAGTTTTAAAGATGGATTTGACTTGTCAATGGGTTAATTAAGAAGTTAAAGGTGATAGAATTGAATTTAGAACACATGGAAAATTTAATGAAATTCTTTGATTCAAGAATTATGGTGGATTATGGGAGATGGTAAAGTTTTATAGTGTTATAAGAAGGTTGATACATGTATAGATAAGTTTTAAGGCATAAGGAGGGGTAATAAGTAGAATTTGAGGTCAAAGTAAGAATTTTCGGGCTCAAAATGTAATTTATGGGTTGTGTGCATCGATGCATCTTCAATGTGCATCGATGCACTCTCAAATAAATAAACATCGAGTATAGTTGGTGCATCGATGCATGAGGAGTGCATCTATGCATCCCCTTAAAATGGAAACATCGAATGTAAATTGTGTATCGATGCATGGTAGTGCATCGATGCACATGTTAAAGAATGCATCGATGCACTGAAGAATGCACCGATCCACTTCAATGGGAAATGAAATAAATCGTTATCCAGTCTATGAAATGATAGATTAAAGTATATTAATTAGATACTGATAGTATCAATGCATGATTATGTAGACATCGATCAAAAGCAAAGTTCAGATAGGTCGATAGAGTAAGATACGCAACGGAAACAAGAGTTTAAGAGGGTTCATTGAGATCAGGTGAGTACATGATAGTAAGTGTACGTTATGTTAAGGAATTAAGACTTGCGATGAGTCCAATTCCGATATTATATGATATAAGTATTAAAGCATAAACATGTAGTGATATGGTGTTAGATGTATGATATATGAGTAAATGTATATGTTTGATTGTTGAATGCATTTTTATGTGTGAACTATGTAAATGCTTGTATTATGATAATAAGTCATGTGATCATGAAATATATGATAAAACATATATATGAAAATAATATGACCCATACATGCTTCTATTAGAATGCTATATGGTAGGCTAGTATAATAAAATAGATTAGATATTGATAATAAGACATAAGATTATACATATGTAATATATGTTAAAAGATAAGAAATAATATGTTATATGCATATGAGAAAAAGGTATGTGATGTGATCACGTGTAAAAAGGATGGATAATGTGAATTTCATGGAAAATGCTACGTGAAAGTAAACTACGTGACTACGTGATCATATGAAATGTGATAAAGAGCTATGTGAAATAACTATGTGATATGAATATGTGAATGTGTAATGAGGTAAAAGATAATGCCCATGTCATGTGTTATGAGAGCTATATGTATAGTTGGCATGCCAAGAGTCGAGGGTCTATGTGGTCCTTCGGGACATCTATGTGGTCCTTCGGGACATCTATGTGGTCCTTTAGGACATCTATGTGGTCATTCGGGACAAATTCTACGCGCCCCTAGTGAGATTTATACGAGCTGTGGTGACAGCATAGTGCACAATCTCTATGTACTCACGTACCTTAAGTTCTCAATAGTGTGCATGAGCTTTGAAAAGAAACCATAATTTGATATAATGATATATGTGTTTCTCGTGAAATGGTACATGTGATATGCGGTATGTATAAGTGATAAGTTAGGATTATATGATAATAATGGTAACAAGTGTATATGGGTAATAGTGATATGAGATGTGATATGATTATGTATGATATGATCATAAGTAATTATTGTTGTGGTTGAAGTGATGTGATATGTTTATGTTCAATATATGCTCATATGATGGAATTGAATCAATGATAAGGAAATAAGTAAGGATAAACCAGCAAGTGATGGGTTTAATAGGTATATAAGTATAATATGTGTTATATGGAATGTTCATGCATTTGTTAGTTTACTTTATGTATTTACATGTCTCACTAAGTCTATGACTTAGCGTGTAAGTATTTTACACGTAGGTGTGAACAGTCAGAAGATCAATCTTCGGATCCGT